AGGCGAAGTGCGCTGGGAGGGCGAAAGTAGGGGGAGGGGAGGGAGCGAGGGGGCGCCGTATTCCTCCCTTCTCCGGCTGCTCCTTCCTCTCTCCGGCTGCTCGCTGGCTGTTGACTCTGGGACATCAATCACCGGGCGAAAAAGCCCGGTGCGAGCGAGCCTTGCCGTTTCGGCCCGGTCTCTCCATTGGCTGCGCGCAGAGAGGAGCGGGGTGAATGACAGCACGGGGGAGGGGCGGCGGGGGGTGGCGCGAAAGGGAGGCCCGGAGCAGAGACAGATGCCGGAGCCAGAGAGGGACCGAGACCGGAGTCTGAGGCCTGGAGAAGGAGTTCTGGACGAGCCAGAAGAGGAGAACCAGAGAGAGCAGCAAAAGGCGAAAGAAAAAGACGAGGAGGCAGCTTATTCCGAGAGAGATGCACAGACAGATGGACCCAAGACGAGAGAGGCCAGAACCACCTCCCAGCCGGACAGGAGGCACCCCTGGCTTGGAACAGCCCGGCGGGTCCCTGGAGAAGAGTGTCCCTGCACAGTCTGAGAATCTCCCCAAGGGCTCAGCTGGGAAGCACCTGTCACTCAAGCAGGCGCTTCACTCCAAACTTCCAGCCCGGCTGGTTAGAAAGTAGAAGACCGTCTACTCCCCAGGTCCGGAGCCCAGGCCCCTGAGGCATGACGGTGAGTTCAGGCTTGTCCCAGCTTTAAATCCGGAGCCTACCAACAACTGGCTCTTACGTTACTTGGGGGTTTCAATTGCAGATGGAAAGACTTTTTGGAAAGCAGGCACAACTCAGGGAGTTGCCCTGGGGCCTGCTGCTGGGGTGCGCTTGGCCTCAACACCCCTTTTCTTTTCAAGAAACCAAAGCCTCAAGAAGCAATGCTCACAGCAGGTGAATGAATGCAGCCAATTACTTCAATCCCAGCTTAGGTGACTCCCAGCAAGAAGCCATTGATTGTGAAGGAAAAGGACTTTCTTTCCTGTGGAAATTTAGGGGCTGCAGGCTGTGGGGACTGCGAATGGCACATCAGGGAAATACATACAGGACAAATTTAGGTCTTCAAAGTTTTGCTTGTGACTGCCTGGCCTAGAGCCCAAGAGAGAAAGAGGAAACCCCCTTTTCTGTTTCTCTCTGGTAGGGCAGGGTCTGCTCCCCCACTCCCCCACAGAAGCCAAATTCTGGGGAAGACACGGTTAGATCTTTCTGAATCTATTTCTGGTCTATTTTGAGTCTGCCTCAGATTCACCTCACCTTCAAGAGGGCCTGTCTTTATCAGGCCAGATGCTAGGTATCATTCTAAGTATCAGGTCTCCTTGCAATCTTTTTGTTTTTGTAATGTCTGCCACCGTCCTTTAAAGAGCTCTTTGGGGACAAGGAGTGAGCATCTACCCCCAAGAATGTGTGTTGATCCTGGACGAAAAATGCAGGAGTGAATCCTCTTATCCAACAATATTGATTGAGCACCTACTACCTGACAAGGAATCCTGATGACATGGCTGGGTAAGCAGTGAAGTGCACAAGTCAAGGTCAATGGTTTAAACCCACCAGTCGCTCCAGCAGAGAAGATGAGGCTATCTACCTCTGTAAAGATTCAGAACCTCAGAACCCCTGTATTGGATCCTTATGAGTCAGAATCCATAGCAGTGGGTTTCAGGCTTTTCTGTTTTATTTTGCTTTTTGGTACTATGTGCCAGCGATTACTCTGGGCACTGGGGGTTACTACGGTGAATAAAGCCAAGTCTTTCATGTCCTTGGAGCTTATAGTCTAGTAGAGGGGGTCACAATAACCAAATATTTAAATAATACATTTATAGAAGTACAATTACAATAGAACATATCATCAAAATAGCACATTAATATAATGTAACTGCCCATCAACTGATGAATGGGTTAATAAAATATGGTATATCCATACAATGAAATACGATCCAACCATAAAAAGGTATAAAGTGCTGGTTCATGTTACAATATGAATGACTCTGAAAAATGTTTTTAAAAAGTGTAAGAAGCTAGGCACACATAGTCACATATACAATGTAAGTTATTTTTACCATATAAGCAAGCAAATATAATATGTCAGGTAGTAATAGGTACCAGGAAATAATGTAAACTTCACTATACACCAACACTTTGAGACAAGTATTATCCCTACTTTACAGAAGTGGGGAAACTAAATCTCAGAGAGGCTGAGTGTTACCCAATTCAGATGGAGGAGCCGAGTTCGACCTCCTTTTGTGGGTTAGCATGGAAGCCTGGCTGCTGGCTGGAATCCAGTCTCTACAGGCACCAGAGAGGTGGACAACAGCCTA